TTTAATAGCATGTGTTAACCCCTTCTATTTTGGCTTGCCACGATATCAACGAAGGTCGAGGGTGCTGCAGCCGGGGCCATATTGCATCCTTCCTTCCACAAATACCTAAAGAATCCCTTATACCAAGTTGAATAATCATAGTATAGAAGATACTTGCATACCTCCTGAATTGGACATGTTACTTATTTCATAGGTGAAACGCTGAGTTCTCAATGTCTTTTTGACTAGTTAGATGATTTCGACTATTTCATTTACGTTTTGGGCCTTAAGACTTTGTCTCAGCCCGAAATGGGTAGGGGTAAAATGAGTCACCACACTTTTAGAGAAGTTAATTAATTAAAATTATTGCTATAGTAAAAAGAAAGTGGCATTTAGGTCTCATTTCTTCTATTCTTAAATAAAAAATGCCAAAATTTCATAAATGGGGCTAATGTTGCTATGCTGTGACACCACATTTTCGTGCAAATGTTTCCCAAGTTGAGGTCTTCCTTATTAATTCACGGTTAAGATTATCAGGCGACTCATCCAACCCGTGTAAAAAGACCGCCTAAAAGTTGCTGAAGTGATGCCGATCAGCTAATTGCTCACTTTTAGTCTCAGTGGCCCTGCTCATAACTGCTACCACGTTCGCCTTTCTCCTACTGACTGGCACAATATTCATGCCTATAACTCTACAAAATACCAGCCATTTGCTTTCACATAGATTGACATCCAAGTAAGAGCTGTAGTGGTCTAAAACAGTTTTTTTAACGTCATTTTTGGGACCTAATATTAATGCAAACAGCGTCAAAAAAGAACCTCCATAATATAACATTTTGATAAGCCTTAGGCCCAAACAACTCACAGGCCGCACACAGACCCACACAGCAGCCCCCGAATTTGACCAGAGCTTTTGAATCTCCAGACTACAAAAGAAGTGAAACACCTCCAAGGGGCGTAATCACACCTTCCCCCGCATAGGCGCCCATTACAATATTCATACAACCACAGAAAAGTTTGTTGATGCGGCTGAGCTGTTCCAGCCTTGGGTTGAAAGGCAAACTTTCGAGACGCTTAACCTATACCAATCTTCCCAAACTAGAAGTAAATGTACCGAATCCACCACTCCATAGAAAATCTCACCTTCCCCACAATTTCACAACAGATTTCACGCCTACCCATCGTCTCACTACCAGTTCCTACCGCCATCATCTTCAACAGCGCACAGATGTTCGGCCGTCCTTATGGTGTTTTTGACCAAGCTCTTCACTACAGCGCCCACCCTCGGGTCTATACCTGCACCACCACCGCTGATCGCCATCTTGATAAAGGTCGTCTGGACCAACATACGATATACGCACCGACTACCGCTACGGCACCTACAACTCACCTATACGTGCTTTACCACCACCGCAGCTGTTATTTGCAAGACTTCCAACTCCGCATCAACTTTGTCCCTCTAGCTTAAAGGCACAACAACAGCACAACACGCAATCCAGCAAAATAGGAAACAATCGGGGAACTGCAAACACCCAGGCGTTCAACCGACCCTTGGGGGGCGGCAGTAACACCAAAACTACTCTCCAAATTAGAGGATGGACAAACACTGATGGGAGGTGGTCAACCCGAGGCGCCCATCTCCCACATGCTGCAAGATAGCGGTGGTCGAAGCGAACCCCTGTATGGAGGCATGGATCACTAATATGTGGGTATTTAAGCAGCTTGTACTTCAGCCACGGCTGCGCTCTATATGTCTAGTCACCGGTGGGCCATCTATAGACTAGGGGATTCAACTAGCTGCTAGAATCTAGTGCCCGTCTAACCGTATGTGTGGTTGCGTATGTGGATCCAAACTGTAGATATGGTGGTGTGAGGGGGTAAGACAAGGCGACAATTACTCAAACAAGGTTGTCAAAATTAAAAGAAGAAAAGGGAGCGGCAACAGCGCTAACTGTGCAATAATTACTCTCGGTAATTTACAAATGCAGTATCGCTCTTTAACGTCTGTAAAAGCCCGAGTCCCGTATTAATTTAAACAACGTCCATCGTAATCAGGACAGCTCCGGAATCCCATGCACGTCACGCAACCTTTGAACATTTGCGTCACACGACTGATGAACAAAAGCACAATCAAAATGCAAAAATGGCATATGACCACGATTTTGTGAGGTCTTCAAGTTGGAAAAAAAGGATTTGGAATTCGAAACGGATTTTGACGGTCACATTAACCGCATCCAACGTAATTGATTGTTGTAATGACTTCAGAAGCAACTTTTGATTATAAGCTAAAGAGGTTGATCCGAGACGTGTGTGAGATTTTTCAAATCGTTGTGAAACGCATTTGCCTTAGTCACATGTGCACACATTAACAGGCATCCACCTTGTTAAAACACAGGTTATTTACAGTAAGATTTAATTTGGAATCAAAAACTTGAGAATGGCTCATACTGACCACTTCCAACCGGAAGTCTGACGTTCGTATAATGATTATTGCATCACATCGTGTTCTTTAGTTAGATATATTGATAACTAGTTGAACGTGATGTGTCGTAGGTGATTTTTGCAAAGCGAAACGTGTGAATTTTACGGGGTTTGCCTGTTTGCCACCAATTCGATGCAACTGGTTAATTTTATTATTATCTTTTTCCATTGACTCACAGATTCGGTGACTTAAAGAAGACCCAGGTTGTTCAAATATTGTTTTGAAAATATCCAAGCTTTAAGTGATCTGAGCATTTTCCTGTTTCCCTGGCATTTACATTTAGTGGGGCTAGTTTCGATGTGACAGATGTAAACGAGAGTACAGTCAGTACCAAAGCTCAAACTATTATTATAATCACTAGATGTTTTTTGTTAAATAAGCATAAGGAGATTTTTATAGACGAATTACCTTTAATGCTCTGCTTAAAGTTTGAAACCCATTTTTAACGCGTTGGCCACACATTCACGATGCTCCGAATTTTCCATTCGAGTATGGAACCACAGATATGTGATGCATGTGCTTTAGCAGTCTCGGATGACTGCAGTTAGATCGTCCGGTTCGGTATTGAAGGCCTTGGTTTCATGTGGAAGAAGACAATATATGGACTGTGGTTTTCTATTGTCCTTTGAGACTCTGGCAAAGGGAAGTGTTAAGTACTTCAGCACGCATTCTTTGTGTTGATAAAGGATAGGCTTCCATAATTATACAACTCTTTGTAAAGGAAGTGACCTTTTGCAGATGATGTACCAGTCGACAGATAACGCCTCTCAATCAACATCCTACCATCTCTATTTTGTACACAACGCGGACAATGATTGGCACAACTCTACTTCATTTTCCTGATTAATTACACGGTGAACTACCGAGGAAAGGGAGTGCTTAATAAATGGTCGACGTGAACATCTGGTAGTTAAAGGAGGCCTAAGGAACCGTTATGATTTGCATATAGCTATAAAATATGGTGGCTAAGGCATCCCCAACTCTACCGAGAAACTTTGTTGATAACCAGTCTTATTGGTCAGTAATCACAAACTCAGGGAAGTCCAGGTACTACGTGTAAAAGGATATCGCAAAACTCTAAAGATGGCTAGGAAATTCATGCAAAAATAAGTATTGTACCACACTGTTTAAGAAAAATCATGTAATTGGGATTGTTAGCAATAAAAGCACTTAAAACCATGCTAGATAGGCTCCGTCACATTGTGAGTGCATCACTAAACAAATGATTCAATCATGAATGCGTCACATTCCGCTCGACCTCATGAGAGGTATGGTCAGAGGTCTTAAACACGCAACAAGTTCATTGGCTGGACTACACAAACACGCAAATGCACACGTACACGTAACTGTCCGGACTAAAAACTAGTACCTGCAACATTGTTTAGAATAACACCATCCAAAGATCCGCTCCATCACACACATGTACACATTTGCCCCTTACTTAAGAATGCTCTCTACTTTTCTCATTCTTTCCCTCTTCCTCCTTTGCGCATTGGGGGAAAACAGAGAGATTGGGCATCCAGAAGGAGGTATTATTATACGTCCAGATTCGCTGTCTTTGTTCGCAATGCTGCTACAATCGATGAAGTTAACGTATCTGTTTTAGGCTTTGTTCCAGAAAAGGTGGACTGCGCTATGTGGCCCGGACGTAAAAAGCTTAGCATTCTTCCAGGCAGTGGATGGGATAACCTGGTGAATGAGGAGAGAGGACTCACTACTAACAGGGAGGTCTACAAGATGTGTCGTACCTCAGACGATGGAAACTACCTTATTCCTGATGGCATGACTATTGGTGAGTTGAATAATTGTCTCTTATGTGTATTTTGCGCAACCATGGAGCTTAGTAGACTTTCGCTTTTATTTATATTGTTTTACACATGTACTGACAGTTGGTGTCGATGAAAAACATGATGACAAATCGGTAGTCACCACAAAGTTATCATTGGCTTCTCAAAATTAATAACTGTATTCACGTTTCATAAAACAATGATGATGACCCATGCAAGGTGTTAGGGTATAATGAAAATATGTACGACCTAGTCCAAAGCCCGTCGTTTGCATTTCGATGGCTTAATTAACGGGAGGAAGATAAGTGGATTGGTCCACAAAGAAAGTTTGTAGGAAACAATTATAACGTTTAAAAAGTGGATAATTAATTTAGATAAGCCATTAAATGATATGGATTCCAAATAAATTTAATAGATTTATTGCATCTAACAGTTTCAACTGTTGAACGGAAATGGTATAATCTGAAAATTAAACCCTAAAACCAGAAAAGCTGATCTTGAGAGTATGCTTCATGGATTTATGTACATTGCAAACCCTTTCAATTTACAACTAGATATTTCCTATGTCTTTAAGACTGCTATATATTGTTATTTGTCGGTTACCTAAATTGAATAAAAATTCAAGTTCTCCTTTGCTGTACTCGTTCTACCGACTGATTCACTTAGAGTAACATCATGACCCAAACATAAATTCAACTAGACGCCATCGACAGATTCTCCTCATAATGATAACAATTACAACCAAGAAGTTTCGCTCTAATTGAATGATTAAGATTGTGCAGCTCTTCCGCGAAATGAACGAGTATTGTTATTATTATCGATATTGTTTACAACACCCCATAAAATTTGAGCACTTTTTACAAGAACATTATCAGGATCAAAAGGCCTAAGTAATTCGAGTATTTTGTTTCATTTCCATCCGCTGAAATCCGTTAATTTCCGATGTCCTCCAGAGCCAATTAAGAGTACCCAAATTGAACTCTCCTCGAAAGTATTTACTCACTTCACAAACTACACTTCACTCACGGCCTTTTCAATGAACTCGGCTGCGGATGTCAAGCTCCACTTTGTTTCTGTCGGCGGTGACTTCTCCTTAGAAAAGGATGTTGTTAGAAAAGCTGAGGTAAGACCTCCTTCATGTAATGCTGTGTTCATCATGTTTACGGCATTTAAATGAGCCTTCTTCATCTTCCATACCTTCTGTACTGCATAACCTATGACGTATGTTATTTTTTGCTGCATACAGTTGACTTGGTATTATAGGCCACAAAAACGTGAAAATCTGGAACCCAGTGTTAAAAATGCCCCAAATTTGTTTCTAATGATATGATTGATTGCATAATTCAATCTACAAATATGTACGATATGGAAATCTTCCCTGCTTCCTTGTAACCAATTCCATTATCGTAACTTTCATAGATAGAAAAACCCTATCATATTTTAACAGAAACCAAATGCTTTACCCTCAGGTCGGTATAGAGCATGCAGTTTTTGAAGTGGCTCTAATGGAAGTGTGGGAAACAAATTAGTGGTCTTTGATTCTCGGGAGGATGTAAAGGCCAGAGTAATCAAGTATCATTTTGCTGCAATACATTCGGCCATCTTAAGTCATCTCGCTTTTGCTTAGAATCAAAACAACGGTCTGACAGTACGATCCCAGCTGCGGCACCGCTGGTATATTGTGCACCAACTTCCCGACTCGCAACTGCACCCGCGGTTCCGAAACCGCCTGCTGGACATCGCCGCTCACCTGGCGCGCAGTAATATCACTGAAGCGGGCGGGAGCAATGATGGCGCAGGTGTCAGCGTGACCGACCTCCGCTCACTGGTCGGAAGAAACAGCGTCGGCCTGCTCTCCACGCCTCTCGATCCTCTCGCGGCTGAAGAAAACAGACAAGTCATGTTTCGCGTTATGGACAGTCTCCATGCTGCCTACTTGGCTGATCTCATTGTCAGGTTCCTGCAAAACTGGCACAGCTTTGCACTTTTTCGCGGTTGGTAGTAAACGGACTTCACAAAAAAGTCAATTTCTCAATTTAAAGGTGGCGGACCAATAAAAAGATG